AAGAAAAACACCACCAAAACCCAGACAATCGATCGCAGTCAGGGTAGTTTAGAACATTTAACATTACAAAAGCAGTGTCTAGAACAAACAAAATCAAAGTACATCTTCCCGTCTATGTATACAACGCACATGTACAGACCTATCGATGATTGTGACACCGAATCTGTATGTCGATACAAGTTATCGAGGTCTTATCTACATAAGCTCTGTACTGACACAACAGAGACAAAGTTCACAATGGTTTATACAATAGATTTTCTATTTAGAAAATAAAGAACATACAAAACTTAAGCGCTCCAACAATCGTGAGAAAAGACTTCGACTAGGATGTTAAAAGTTATACGGTCCCATATGTACAAATAGTCGATAATAGTATATGATTGTTAGAACTAGATACACAGTGAGAACTTTGGATGACTCTCTTTACTGGTTGCACCCAAAAGTAGATGGAGCTTAGACTGATGTGACCCTGAGAGGGACGGTAGCTTCGAGTCGTTATCGGAGGACTCAGAGGGGCGAACAGAAGTACATCTATTGTTACGCACCACTCAGCAACAGAGATCTACACCTATATAAAGGTCAATATTGTGACTTAGCGTTCGGCACATCTTGTTTTGTATGAACGGTATCATACAAGGAGAATGACTCGACGTTCAAGTAAATAACTTAATTGAATGTTTATTAAGACGTTGCTTTCTAGACCCCCATCAGGGTTTTGTGTACTGACCCTTGTTACTATTTTCCTGTAAGACCCGCACTTTGACTTTTTAATTCATACAACGACCACCTAAATCCGGAGACATTTACCATTGATTAAGATGACAACTAAAATAAATACAAAGACATTGATTAGTTCTTATTTACTACAATTAAGAAGATAGTTTGGTGTTGCAACCACTAACAACGTTTACGGTACTCAGAATACTTCGTCTCAGAGATTTTTGTTGTTGAAAACGGACACGACGAAAAAAAAAAGCACACATCAACCAGAATGGGTCTACTACCGTGTAGGTAGCCCAATTAGCCTTCTGGCGGATATGTTCCAGTTTGCCCCACTCGCGTGCGATATGATAATGGTAACGCGTAAATTTAACTTTAGATCGTTTTTGGATACATAAGTACACGGTCGAATTATAGACTTCCCTCTGACGCTTAATGTTGTGTATTATATTAGTTTTGGTCTTTTCCGATTCATGTTGTAACAATATCGGGTCAAATTTTATACAATAGATTGTAGTCTAGAATATTGAATTGTTTGTCTCGTGTCAAGATTAGAAAGGTGCTCTAGAGTGCTATAAATGTATCTAAACGTGACTAGATATACAGATTCTTAGTTTACTTTATGTTATACTAGATAACATTATAGATAAAATCTCACTTGCATAGTAAGCTTGTTTGAATCCAATTTTCGACGCCTTATATTCAACCATTTAATCAAGTATTACTCGCAGAGTGTTTCAAAAGATAGCCTCTTCCTCTTAACACGCCACCTTCTACAGCCTCCCCCACCACATGTTAGAGGTAATACATTATACGTTGTCTTAAGGTATGGTTTTTACATATGTGGTACAATTGTATCGTTTATAATCGCAATTAAAAACAAACGTGTTATTCTCCGATGAAACGTTGTTTAATAACATAATGCGGAAGGATATACAACTGTAGTGTTCATGTAACCTGTGGAAATTTCACAGAGCATTTTATTGACGAATTGATCCTGGTTTTATTACACTTTATTCTCTCCTTTTACAGTAATTACATCCGCAATGGACTAAACACTAACTAAAATTGGAAAAGGTAAATCAGCACGACATTAATAACTAGTACAATGGCCGTAATAAGAAACTTTTCTGTATAATGTCGTGTAATCGATACATACGTCCGACTGCCAAAAAGATAGTAATGCAGACGTTTACACAACGCGTGTTGCAAGCGTTCAAAAAGAGGGACTTGCGTTGGGTGTAAACCTTGAGATGTTGAAATACAAGAAAAATTTGGTGCTGTCGTTGGCAGACTGCGACGTCGGAAACTTTACCCCGCTAACTACATCCAAAGGTATGCAGGCGACTAACATCAATAAGCACGCCGAGCAAAGAACAGCGAAGTCCAACCATCAAAAGGACCAGTCAAATGTAAAGACCTGGGACTGAGACTATGAATACGTAATGCTTAACTTATTTTTTTATCACACCTATTCGTTTAACAAATACTTAAATGCAACGTAATTATTCGTGCTAAGCTGGGGGCTGGGAACCGCATCCCTAATGTTTGCCCCGAAAGCCCTACGAGCCCGGACGCAGTCGATCTAAGACCACTGACACCGACTCGAGCTCCGACCATCAGCATCCGATACATTATATCTTGTAGTATAGTTCTCAAAACGTTATGGATGAGTCACTAAGAACCTAAAACACAGATACTTAAACCGAATACTATACCAATACTAAATGATCTAACTGATAGATAGTCTTATAGTACGTTTTATATAATATCTAAGTTATATGACCATATCCGTGATTGAAAGAAAAAAAAACCGCTCAATTTCAATTGTAGAAATCGTTGCGAATACAATCCGAGTGCAATCGTGAGTACTATCGATCTATAAGTCGAATGACCGATTTGGCAATACCAGCGAATATACTCATGCGAGATTGCACTCGGTCTCGAGAGAGACAGCTACACAGTCCAGAATCGCTACACGAATATTGGCTAGTCATGTCGCATGCCCAATGCCCGGACGCGGGCAACGCGATTACTATTGTTGTACAATTGTCTTCGTTTTATACCTATAATTTATGTCTCCATCAGGATCAGACATAACATTCGTACAGACCTATTAGAATTTGTATTTAATTACACAGAACGATGGTTTTGCTGTATTGGAACACTAATCAAAAACAAGGACGCACTCCGCTATAGAACTGTATCAACACTGCTAGTCCAGGGAAGTCCTCGGTCAAATACTGACCAGAGAGTGTCCGCTGCGATTTACAATGGACTACGCTTAGCTAACAGACTAAATTCCACCACTCATGGACCACACCCACCGCATCCCTCCTCACATTCTTTCACTCTGCTAGAAAAGTGCTGCGTTTGGAGGCAGGAGTCTTATGACCAAACCATTACATGTAAATAGAGGGGGGTGTACAGAGGCTTTGGATAATTAACTTTTGGAAGAAAATAAGTTAAATGAATCGTAAGTTTAGTGAGTAGCCTACTACGCAATATAACGTTATATTAATGTTAATTATTGATGAAAGGGTACTTACATTTTTTTTCTTAATGTTCTAAACATTTTGGGGCCCCCTGCTAGTCATGGGCCCTTAGAATCGTCCTAACCTTTCACCCCCTTACGGCGCCCCTGTGTGTCTGTGACAGTGTGTGACAGTGTGTGCGTGGATGCAGCGGACAGACAGTCTCAGTTGGTTTGGTGTCCTCTGCTTACTTTTAATACTTGTAAATGCAACTTTTGGCCCCTAATTTGTTTTCCTCATTGTAGCGACCAGAGAGAGGGGGGAGGAGAGGAGTTCCCATTTCTCTAACCTCCTGCTGCTTCCCCTCCTCTCTCCTCCGCTCACATCCGCTATTTATCCATAGATCTCTTCATTTTGCTTTCAAAGTGCACCAGATTGATGCACTTCAATATTTAAAAAAAAATCTTCCCGGGGGAGCATGCCCCGGACCCCCTAGAGGAGGTTAGGTCCACCCCCCACCTAAAACATGTTCACATGGATCCCTTTGCACACTTTTGATATGGTGGCCTAGTAGTCCATGTTTCTGTTTGGTGTTCGTGCCACAACTGTGCATGTATGCAAAAGTCATAGGTGCGCTGTAACATAGCACTACACCCCTGCAATATGTGTGAAAGACAATAGACTTTACAGCATGTCTTTTTAAATTGAAGTTGCGTTGGTGTTTGTGTGTTGGTTGTTGACGGTAATGTGTGGTAAATGATTGCCCCCCTCATTCGATTTGTTCTAGAGTCGACCCTCTATAAACTGCATGGTCTTATTCCTATTTTTTCAGAAGTGCATCTCAGTTTGTTGTTGTTTCTCTAAACTGGAGCCAAGCTTTGTAGAGGGATCTTCAACTTTTTACGTGATATGGAAGTTAATGCGGTTTGTTTTTGTTCCTTTGCAGTGCTGGGGGGGAAGCTGGCAATGGCGTCAAATTAGACATTATGCACAGAAGAAGAAAACCCCCGGAAGTAGGGCGGGCTTAACTTTAAAATAAAAGCATGAGATTTGAAGCAAAAAATATTCATGAAAAAAATGCTGCTGCATTTAAATGTTGTCATCATGTCACACGTGGCATCATTGTGGCATTAGACCATGTTAAATATCGGAAATGAGTTTTTATTAGATCAACTGTCACAAATGTGGCTATAACAAAAATGTTATACATCATAGGAAAATGTTATACATGACAGGAAGTATACATTAGGCTCTCACTAACTTAGGGTGTTATCGTTTCTAATGGAAAATAAATATGTCATCTTATTATTTTTCCAGGGTAAGTGAGTGGGCAAGTTTAGTAAATGAAGTACGTCTTCTATTTCGAAAAAATTAACCGGAAGTCCTAGAGTTACACAGAACAACGCAGACAGCTGCTCCTCAAAAGAATGTAGGACCATGGAGGTATCCCCCGGCACAACACTAGATATATTTATCTGTTTTTTCCTCAGTTGAAGGTATGAAAACAAGTTTGAAACATCACAACTTCGCAGCATGGAGCTATAATGCAGTTTACACGTGAAGAAACAACTCGTCGGAGCAGCGGAGTTTTCTTTGGTCAAACTGGAATTACACTCGCTCCGTAAACAGGCAAGAGAAACCTTCCCTTTGTTTTAACATTGTGCGACACCTTTACAGTGTTTTGTTTCTCTCTGCAGCTAACTTCTGAACTCAAATTCTGCCCAGTCTCTTGAAAAAGCTTACTTATCAGTCATATGGTCATTATTTATTGTGTCACCTTTAAATATGTGGAATACTGCGGGACGTGTTGTACGAGTTACCACCGCCACCTGTTGCACGACGTCACTGCTTTAACCAAAACGTAAACGCACCAATTCTTGTTAATAAATGTGTGTTGCTCCGCGGAGTCACTATAGCATCAGTGGTGGAAAGTAGCTATATTATATTTAAGTAACTCAAACCATGAGTGTTTTGCCAGAAAATGAATTGGCAGCAATTTTGCTAAGACTAATTCTGTAAAAAAACATTTCACACTTCCAGCTTTTTAAATGTGAAGATGCTTTTAAATATATTTTTTGAGTTTTTTCTGCTATGAGTACATAAACTCCTTATACTTTAAGTACAGTTTCCTAATCTTACTTAAATACTTTTACTTAACCTTGCACAGTTAGTAAGCATCTAAACAGAAGTGCACAAGAAGCAGTAAAGTGCAATGGTATGAATAGTATACTATATACATATGGCAGATATAAAAAGTTAAATTATATACAGTATGAACAGTGTATGTATGTATGTATGTATGTATCGGTATAAACCATGTATAAACACTATAAAAAGTATAGAAATGTAATACATTAAAGACACTTATGTTTATAATATGAATAAATATGAGTACGCTTAAGCGGTCTGTTCCTTTACCCTTCAGTCCATGGCCAGTTCAGTATTAAAAACAGATTTAGATTGAGTTTGTTGAATCTGTTAATATACTTGTACTTGGTTATCCGTTTTGAGTGTGGTTCATTGTCTTATAACACATTTACACAAAAGATACAAAGCTTTAGTCATGTTAAGAAAGGTTTTAAAGATACAAAAATGCAATGTAGAACTCATATTTAGTTTGAATTAGAAATTGGATTTAGGAGAATAATGTAAATGTTTAATTCAGCCAGAAAATGCACCTTCTGTGATGTTTTTTTACTTGGGACCCAAGACTTTACTTTCTTTTGCTCACATATTGGCGTGTCATCTATTTTCTTTTGCCAGATTGCTGTTTAAAAGTTGTTTCCAAGCATTTGCAAGTCAGACTAACCCTAAATTGTGTCACCAGCTTCGCACATCATATCATCTTCCTTCCTTATTTTCATTGGAAAAGCCAGTGTTTCCTGATAAAGGCATAGACCTTGGGGTTTTCCAGTCTCTGCAGATTGTGTACCTCCAACATGAGTCACAGGTCAGGAATTAGAGAAAAGTGCATTAGTCTGGCAACCTGGTCTGTATTTAGACCCCCTTTTGAATGTCAAGCTAGTTCTCTGTCCTCTGTTTTGTCAATTGGGGTTTCAAGAGGTCACATTGGATTTTCACATATTGATGTAACATTAAAATAAATACATATAGAGAATAAAACAGCAGGAAGGTCACCACTTCAATGAGAATACCGGGCGCTGTACAATAGCTGCCCAGTGCTCCTAGTACTACACTGTGTGTGTTGTGTGCTCTGCATGTGTGATCATTAAAGAGGGCTTCATCCCTCTTCTTCTTCTTTTTCTTCAATACAACAAAAAAGTGAATTAATCAAACCACAAACAAGGTATAACACAAAGAATGTCAATTACACAGGGGAATACCAATAACCAATAAAATGTGACAAAGGGACCTAGGGCCTATTTGTTCTCTTATTTAAATAGATGAAAAATGTCCTAATCCATGAGTAATGAGAGGGGGGAATTTGAGGCTTAAGCTTATTAAGAGAGTCACAAAGGCTATGAGTTATTTTTATTTTGGGAGTTACAGAATCATAGGGATAAAAGCTACTATATAGAATGATAGCTATAAGAGCATTGTTGTCCCCTAATTAGTGTCATGCACAGTTTTTTCAAAAAGCAAACTGTTGGCAAAGCAAGTTTCACCAAACAATTGAATTTAGATCTGACATATCATTACAAAAAATAGCATATCGCTGAATGTTACAATTGACCAATCACAAACGAGCATTCAACCAGGCCGTGTAATATTTTTTGTTCGATTTTGCCTTCCCACAATTAAATAAAAGCCTGCAATATTGACGTTTAAATGTGCGCCCCCACTGCATAACAAACAATATTAACTGCATACCATACCAGTTCTCAACTTTACATTTTTATTAAGCAGGGATTTCAGGTTCACTTCACAGAATACTCCGGGGAAATGGCACTGTGTATATTGCGCCTTTTTTTGCTTTTGGCCGTTTTACTGTAAGGACCAGAGAAGGAGACACACAGGCATGATTCAGTTCCCTACTGCAGAGGGCCACAAGATTGACTAATTGTCAAAGAGTCATTTTCGTTCCTACCCTCACCTATGGTCATGAAGGATGGGTCATGACCGAAAGAATGAGATTGCGGATACAAGCGGCCGAGATGGGGTTTCTCCGCAGGGTGGCTCGTGTCTCCCTTAGGGATAAGGTGAGAAGTTCGGTCATCCGGGAGGGACTCGGAGTTGAACCGCTCCTCCTTCGCGTTGAAAGAAGCCAGTTGAGATGGTTCGGGCACCTAGTAAGGATGCCACCTGGGCGCCGCCCTAGGGAGGTGTTGCTGAACCTGCTGCTCCTCACAGAGAAAAGAGGGAAAAGGCTGTGTGAATTACTTTACATTGTGGATAAGGGTGGATAGCCCCCAATGCTCTGTGTGTCAAAATGAAAGACAGCCCACACACCTATCAATCATCAAACCGTGGGGTCTTATTTCATTACCTGTTGATTTCTATCAACACGTAATGTTGTATCCATGGATATATAAAGAGAAGTTCTACCACAAAAGTATTCTCCGTCGGGATTTCCTGCAACAACACCACGCCGTTATCGTGATTCTGATTGGCCAGAAGACATTAGCAAAGATGTTTTATTGAGAAGACGATCACTATGTGACAAAAGTTTTCAAAACCGTTTCTAGTCTTCGGCTTTTCCAGACAAGTGGCTACTGAAATCAATCTTGCTGCTGTCTGTCCAATTTACTCTGCGCGAATTGGCGGACTTTTTTTTGCCGACTTTAACATAATTTTTCATTGTGGGGTGAAGCCATTTCTAGGTATGGCTGTAGCCTAGCCCGGCCATACCCTGGAGGCGCATCTGCACTTTGCACATAACTCACGGTAGTGATCTTTTATACTTCATGCACAAACTAGATATCATATGAAAGCTGAGAGTCCACACATTTTATTCGTATAACTTTCATCACTGTGCGATCAAAACTCACTCTTAACCCTGTGTTCTATGCTAAATAAAAGAACATTGTACCTCAATCAATGCATTCTAATAGCGGGTACATTTTAGTCGGGGGGAAAATCGCAACATCTGCAAGAAACAGCGTCTGAGGGCTTCTTGACATTTAAAAACCTATTCATGTGTCATACCCACTTAACTGGAAGAAACTCAGCTATCAGACGATATTAACCATTTTTAGAAAAACAAAACATAAGGGTAATAACAAAGGCTCTGAATTAGCCCTGAGCGAAAAAATGCTAACACCCTTAGCACAGAACTCACGTTAAAATACCCTTATTACTTATCGTATCTGCACAAACAAGATGTCGATTAGCAAGCTGAGATTGCACAGATCCAACAGGTATTGGTATCATTGCTGACCGATCCGAAATCGCGACATGAGAAGCTAACAAAGACATCACACCACGTAGCATTAATAATAATAATAATAATAGATTTNGAATGTTTGTGATCAACTGAAGGATAAAGTGTTCCTTTATAATAATAATAATAATAATAATAGATTTAATTTGTCAGCGCTTTTACAGGTGCTCAAAGACGCTTTACAGATAATAGTGAAGAGAAAAGAAAAGAGAAGAAAGGAACAACAAATAAATATATAGTTAAAGTTGAAG